TTAATTCATGTACAACGTTTGAAAAGAACATAAAAGCTTTTATACTTTTTTCTCTTTCGCTGGCGTAATATTTCTACGTCACTTTTTCGTGGATTTGCATTCCGCACGCATTAAGAATGTGTCGGAAATATTTGTAATAAACGTGATGATTTAATTGATAAATGATTTATGATTTAATTTTGCGAAGAAGATTAGATGGCGTAGCATCAGATCTTTTTGGTAAAATATTTTGAACTCTGTTCAATTTTTAACGTGATAGTACATTAAGATATTTTGTAATAATAATATGCAGGTTGTTTCGTTTATAATGAACATATGATTCATTTTGCAGAATAAATTATTTTTTCTTAACAAAAGTGGTAGAACAGTTTCTTTATGGAATTTCTTAATCTAAGAAGAACTTTGATTAACGTTTGCTAATAATAAAACTTTAGAACTTTTTAAAAGATACATGTAATTGTTTATATGCTTAAAAATTGTATATTTAAAAACCGTAATTTTCAATAATGTAAATATCTCCTGAACCACGTAAACACTCCATTTGAGAGTTTAAGAATGTATGGATTCGAGAATAAATAAATCCGCAACGTAAATCGCCGTTGAAAATTTTATGTCCCGGGTAGGCAGTACGAACGTACGTGCACTGTGCAGTGTGTGGAAAACTAGTCCGATCAATAAGAAATAAGTGTTTTCGAGTGGCCAGTGAAATCTCCTGATCTCAATATAATAGAATATTGTTGGTAACAACTGACGCGAAATGTACATGAGAAGGAAGGAAGTTTGAATATATTAAAAACTTCACAGTAAATGATGAGCACAAATTGGCTTTTTCGCTAAACTCGCGAAAAATCTATTAAAAAATTAAATAACGAAAGATCCATGAAATATTAAAACTAAAAACAATTTCGTAATTGCTGAAAAAAGCTTTTTTACATAGAGATACAAGTATACCACTTTTACCTCAAAAATAACTTGAAATTCATGTCGAAGTAATTTAACAAATTCTAGTTAACCATTTTAAGTAAATTAACAGATATCTTTGAATTTTAAAGATTATATTTTACATATCTTTGAAATAGAAGTAAAACATTCAAATAACATACAGCAGAATGAAATTTTTATATTTACTTTACTGTTTACTTTACTGAATTATTTCATTTAAAGTTTGCAGCAAATCCTATTAATGTCCAATTCGGTACCTTCTTTAAATTTGGCATCGGGATTACTCACGAGATTACTCTGAGAATTCCAAAGTTTACACGTGCAGAAGTTAAGATAGAAAGTCAATTAATTTCGAGCCAAGCAAAGGAGTAATGTAGAAGGAAATCCTTCATGTTCGAATAATGTGTAGATAAATGTCTAAAGATAACCATAAATCCGATAAGATAATGTTCTATTCACATAATTTGTAAAGCGTATTATTAAATGATATACGAACCTGAAAATGACAAGTTTCTAGAGATAAATGTTTTACTAAGGGTCTACAATATTGTTGTTTAATTAAAGTATTTCGAACTTATTTCTAAGGAAATACATGCACCGCGCAACGGTAACAATTAATGCTAATCTATCAACTCCGGAAAGTATGCGGAAGGGAATATGAAAGATATTGTTCATTAATGAGCTCTTGTTAACTGCATTTCCTCTTCTGCATTATTCTTTGTTACTTACAGACCCACGTACATTGACAATGCAATATTTTGGGAATGTGCTAATCAACGTATAACAATTTTTCATGGGCGAGTCAAACTGATAGATTTAAAAAGGCAAACTTAATTCAGTGTTTTAATGTTTCAAAAATTGTTCTATTTTGTATGCAATAGTTGAATATATTGTCAACATTTTCAAGAGGGACATCTTTTCAAAAATACATATAAATATGTGGGTTAAAATGATGGAACGTATTGCTGTGTAAAAATGATTTAGGAAGTCTCAAATTCACTTTTCTGGAGCATGAAGTTTCGTACGACAAAAAGTTATTCTATCATGTCGACCTATTTTGAGGTATAGAATCTCTCTCACCCCACTTGTATCGCGATTTACAGCCCGCCTTGTGTATACATATACATATCTACTTATATTATACGTAAGCCTATCTAAAGCCTCGTGATGCGGATCCATAAAATATAATAAAATAACAAGATTGTGAAATTTAATAACTAATTTACACTGTTTTTAATCTAATGAAATTCTAAGCGATAAATATAAGCTTCTATTTATTTGTAATTTCTATAAACTGATTCATAAAAATATTTTATTTGTATATTTATACATGTTATAAAATTATGTACTAAAACAGAAATATATAATTTCATACTAATTGAAACGTCTTTGAACAACATGCCTGGCAACATGCACCCGTTAATTTTCTTCACTTTTGTGATTATGGAAAACTAAAGTACTTTTTGCGATTAATTGATGAAAATAGGAATTAAAGACAAGCTCGCTACTTCAACGAATATTTTGTTACACAAGGAAAAATATTAAATCCGCGTTGAACTTCGTTAGCAACATTTTTCTCAGCTGAATCAGCCGATGGGAAACAAAATTACGTACAAATTTGCTACGCCGATAAACATGTTTGTTACATAAAGAAGAATATTAAATCTATATCTATTTTTTCAAACTTATATTGAAATAAATCACAAACATTATTCTTCAATAGAGCAAGATATTTAAATCGATAAAAAAAATAGAAAACAAGAAAAATGAAGAAAAAGAGATAAAAATTAGTTGGAGTCCGGGTGTAATGTAAAAGGTTAACAAGTTACGGAAACGGAAAGAGGAATAATAAGGCTAAAAAATAAAAAGACAGTTGTACAATGAAGTGGATGAAAGAAAGGATAACGAACAGGATGGCGTGGGTGTGCTGGCTGTCGAATTCAAGGGGCGTTCGGGAACGGTTGCCAATATAATAGGTAGAGTACGGACATTCGAACAGCTGCTAGTACTTAAATATTTGAAGTGACATGGAAGTGTGATAGGATAGCTTGGATATCGGGCTATAAGTTAAAAAATAAGATGAGAAAGGTGTGAAACGTTGGACCGAACGGATAAAAGAAGAAGGTTGCAGGATGTGCCGCGAGTATGAGACACGAGGACATGTGTGAAACTAGGGCGAGAAGATAGGCTGGGAAGAATAAAGGTGATATAAAGGAAATGGAGAACGTGTAGCTTCACTGAAGCAGATTGACGAAACGAGAGAGGTTAACGGAGAGGAATTAGAATAGCTTGAAGATAAAATGAGACGGATGGGGAGAAATACATTGCAGAACAATGGAGACACAAAAAGTTTCTGAAATTTTTTCATTGTACAAAAGTGATTGACATTCCTTATTCACGGTAGACTTTCTTCGGAATAGTTTCTTTGTTCACTTGCAGATTTTGTGCTATTACTGAGCTTTCGGAAATATATTGAGAAATTGTTTGATATCTACTTGTTATTTTTAATCTCTTGATTTATGATTTCATTCGTGGTTGTATTTATTAGGATCGTTGTATTTAATAATTTAGTAGAAAAAAGAAATTTGTATTATTTGTAAGTCTATGTTTAGTTTAAAGTTTAATTATAATACCAGAAAAATGGTATTATATTTTGAAATTTAAAGAATTAATAATTTTGATGTTTGTTCATTTTTATTTGAAATGATCATTACAAGTTTTAAACATTATTCCATTAAAATAAACTCTATTAAAGTTCTATTAAAATATTTTAGAACGTATTCGTATTCCGTAGACGAATTACATTAACTGTTTTGCTTATAACTCTATAAAATCTGCCGCAGTTGCCGCCTTGTTTAACCAAAGTGACTTAAAAGTTCGCTTTAGTCCCACTGTTTGTTTCCATTTTATGAATATGAATTATGAATGAAGCGTAATTTAATTTTAGCGTTCCGTTTCAACTCGGAACCACGTCAAGCAATCAATAATGTATAATGAAACGACATTGTAATATAACTTGTCTTAAAGTTGCGAAAAATGCCTGAAAAGAGTAGGATACTGTTTATATTGGAAAACTGTTTGAAACAAAAAGTACATAGAGCGATTGTTCCCTTTGATTTCTTTTGTGCTATGTTTATTCGTTGGACAATATACTAAATTTACTGTTATTCAGAACAATTAGAATGTCAGACATAAACAATTGAAATTTTTTGAATAAATATTTTGTTGAAAATTGTAATACTTAACATATCTCGTGTGCATCCCTTATCCTTTCCACTTTTAGTCAATGAAAGCAATGACTTCGCAATTACTTTACTGTTTTCAGCTGCATAATAAACATACTTTTATATCTTAACTTATTCTAGACAAATAACGATAATTCTCGCGTTTAATATTCCACTATAACACATCGATGACGAGATACGTCGCCAAAGGACTATATGAATATTTCATGTGAACAGATACCCATCCATTGCGCATGGTCAGCTATAAAATTTCGAGTTCATATCGCGTTAGCATATGTATATTTAATGTGTAAATACTAGCGTTCATTAGTCATGAGCATACAGTTCATAAATTTAGATACAAATACATAACGCTGCGAAATTATGTAAATTGAGAAAAGAAGATTAACATCCACCGATCGGCGGTGTATGTCGTGAATGAATAATAAATCGTCGTAAATCGAACGTCGTAAATGGTGACGACAATAATGTTCACATTATTTCACGATTACGCGTGATCCGTGTTTACAGGCGCAAATAAATGGAGAGTAAGGTAAATAGTTTTGAACGTAGGAAAAATTCAGAAATAGAGAGAAAAAAGAGATCGCTGGGTTGAAATCGTATATAGCATATAAAAAAAGCCGGGGAAGAATGGAATTAGCAGCATTGAAATTGTCATATAGATGCGGCTAAATATATCCGCATTGAAAAGCTACAGGAACAATGCTATCTTTCACTTCACGTTGTTTGTTCTGTAGCCCTTCTGGAGTTGAATAGACTTTCAGCTGACTAAAGCGGGAAAGATGAAATGAAACAAATGCCTTTATGTTTCAGACATTCAGACATGGCTTCCCGCATCAGCCGACGGCAGTGGCATTCGATCCAGTTCAAAGGCTCCTTGCTATTGGTACCAAATCAGGCTCCCTTAGGATGTATCCTTTGTATTACATACAAAATGTTTGCGTAATGTACAACATATATATATATATATATACATATACGTAACGAAATTTCATGCTCGCTCGAATTTTCTTTATGTTTTTCAAATTTTTAAATGCTGTTTATTCAGATTTATGTCTGTTTTCTTAGTTTTACATACTTACTGTTTTTTTTTACCTTCTTTTCACAT